GTGATTTACATTCACTGTGTTACTTTGAAGAAAGGGCTTGAATACACGCTGAACCAGTGGTGAAGATACGGATGAGATGGGGGCACGTGCCCCCCCCCCCCCAAAAAAAAAGACTCCCCTCACCACCCTCCCCCGAATCAAGGGTCATGTTAACCCGGAGTTCAAACGCGAGTAAAGATGGTGACCTATCCCTCCCCCTCTCCCTCAACACTCCATCCTTCCCCCTCCCATCCATGATGCTGGTGATCCTCATCAAGATTCTGGACCAACGCTTCGCCACTGCCCCCCCCCCCCCAAAAAAAAAAAAAAAAAAAAAAAACCTTTCATTAGCCCTCCCGGTGGCCCGATGTGCATGCGGAGAGGTCGTGATATAGTTCATGACTTGCCTCTAAATTCAAGGGATGGGGTTTTAAATCCCAGCATTAATTGCACTAATGTTCATTGGCAAGATGCTCCACGTTTGCATTCATTTCTGTATGGTATAAACCGAAAGTACCTCGGTGACTACGGGCCACTTCATTTTTAAATAATTCACGTCATTACGTGTATATTTCATAAGATTCACAAGATTCACATTATCTGCAATAGACGGTTATGCATATTATATTCCACATACTAAGAATCTTGCTCTACGATTGATCAAAAGTAAATCACGTGATGAGAGACAGTTCACCCATCATTGATGGGAGAAGAAAAGTTCGTCGCACTGTGTAGATAGTAGTACTATCTACACAGTGCAACGCAATTTCACTGAAGGTTGCGTATTGCTCTCCTCTTTAAGCGCTTTTAGTGTTAATACGCGAATATTGGTCATCATGATTTTTCTCACTATTGTCGATAGTGTTATTTTGTATGGATTAACATTAATTCTATTTGTATTGTATATTTTACAGTGTTAAATGGACAAATTCAAACTGATTGTAAACGTCTCCAATACGCCGATGTGGGTGACATGAGCATAAATTGTCATTGTCATTGTCATTGTCATTGTCATTGGTCACGCGCGGAATATGATCACACCACCACCATACTACACTGTACGTTTCGTACACCGTTTGCTAGTTGTTAATTGATGACTTGTTGCTCTAAAATGATGAGCGAAGTGAAATGTTTCCGATGTGGAATATAAAGCAAATAATCACCGTTTGGTTTCAGGCGATGGCAAACTATCACTTCCGAGGCGATCTGAATGTATGTTTCCTCAACTTTGCTTCGGAAAGATAGCTACATCCAGATCGCCTCGGAAGTGATAGTTTGTCCCATCACCTACACCTACGGTAATTATATGCTTGGGGTCTATTCGCTATTCATAAGGACCGTTATTCATAGGGACTACTATTCTTAGGGACCGCTATTCATAACGTGGAACTTCCCATACCTACAGGTCCGCTATTCATAATGGTAGAAGAGGGTCGCTATTCATAATTCATACTAAGGGTCATTAATCGCAAGGACCGCTATTCATAATACGAAATGAGGTTCGCTATTCATAATAGGCGTAGAGGATCGCTATTTATAATAGAAGTATAGGGTCGCTATTCATAATACGAAATGAGGGTCGCTATTCATAATGATGTTTTTCTTATGTTATTTATGTTTGTACTCTATATTATGTCAATGTTTAGTTTTGATGAATTTTATATTTTTATATATTCCCTGTATTTTTGTATATCAAAAACTTATTACGTCGTTCTAGAGGGCGTACTTGGAAAGCAGTTTTGTTAAACTGAATGTACCTACCCTCTATTTTAAATAAAACTTGAATAAATAAATAAATACGAAATGAGGGTCGCTATTCATGATAGGAGCAGAGAGTCTTTATGATTCACGAAGAGTAAGAGTAAGGCTGAAGTGGGTTGTCTTGAAACAAGATAGATAATAACAGAACAAACACATAATAATACATACCACATGTCATTTCACCGCAGTGGCGGATCCAGGGGCAGGGGTCCGGGGGGCAGGCCCCCCCCCCCCCCCCCTCCCTGGCAAAAAAAGAAGGAAAAGGGGGAAGTCAGGCACCTGAATGTTCATTTGACGGTAATGTAATGCATAAAACCCCTAAGCTTCCGGGGGCTCTGCCCCTGGCTTTCACCGAGGGCCCAAGGTCAGGCACCTGAATGCTCATCTGACGGTTTTCGCCACTGCCGGTGTCACTATTACGTACCTATGTTTGGCTCGCATAATTTCAAATTTGCCCCCCCCCCCTCCCCTAAGAAATCCTGGATCCGCGCCTGGGTCCTATACTTACAAAATAGGAATTAAAGGTATCGGCTACATTTTCAGACTTAATAACTGTATCTTCTTTAATTTTAAAATTATCATTGGGCAATTTTTAAGTTTTTTTTCTTCCAATCAAATCATCAATAATAACCCAAGTAGATTTTATATTTGATATCACTCTATTAAGTTTGTCGGAATAGTAAATTTTAAGAGAATTTCGAATGATGTTAGTTAATTTATTTCGGTATATTTTTTATTTGTTTTTGTTATGAATAGTTGAGTTAGTTAGATAAGCCTTATACAGTTTTTTTTCCTTGTGTGTATCGATTGTAGAATTGCTTTTGTTATCCATGGCATTTTACAACGGTTATTTTTCTTGTTCGCAGACACTAGAGGGATTTTTTTGTCATAATATATCTGCAATTTCGTATTCAAAAGTTCGTATGCTATATCTGCATTTGATTCATTAAAGACGTCCAGCCATTCTTCTGTTACTTGATCACTTTTGAACGATTAAATATTTTTGGGTGTTTCTTTTCTGTACATGTTTGATTTAGCTGAGTTTTTCATTATTATTTCATTATTATATATTACAAAAATTGTCAAATGATCAGATATATCAGAATATATCAATCCACTGGTAATGTTTTTATCAAAGATATTATAAAAAATGTTGTCTATAAGGATTGAAGATTGACTGTCAATTCTGGTTGGTTAATTTTTATGTGGATAACAACTATTAGAATAAGTAATATGAAGAAGTGTATCATGGTAGCTACTAAGAGATAAAAGGTCAATGTTTAAGTCGCCTATTAAATATAATTGTTTACCTTCCCCTGTAAGATTGTGAAGGCATTTATCAAGATCTTCACAAAATAAATTTGTATGACAATGAGGGGGTCTATAGATTAATCCGACGATTATATGTTTTTGTTTGGATTCATGATTTCTACAAATAATGATTCACTTTGTTTTAACGATATATATATTTTTTTTTTAATTGTAAATGTTCATTGACGTCAAATGCGACACCCCCTCCTCTTATTCCTTCGCGATATAGTCTGATCAATGTATACTTTTGCAAGTTGAATAAATTAGGCGAAGTGTTATGAAGCCAAGTTTCAGTGACACCAATAATAGAAAAGTGAAAATTATTTAGAGTATGTAGCAATATTTGCAGAGAATCAAAATGTTTGCTTAAACTTCTATCATTTACGTGAAGTAAGCTAAATTTATGTTGTGTTTTTTGAAAATTTGAAGTAAATTCATCAGTTGTGTAATAGTTACTATCAGAGGATACCTTGTTTGTATTGAAAATGGATAACAGGTCTAAATCATTATTATTGAACATTGACTATTAATACCAATTTATTTTGATTAAAGGGATAATAACTGGTTTGCATGTAAAGTTTTTGTGTCGAACTAGTATGATGGGGGTAGCGATCTAAGATGAAAAGGGAATGGAATGAGGAGATGATGATAGGTGAACATGAAATGTATAAAATGAATGATGATGGGATCCTAAAGCGTTTACTAAATGATTAACTTTCATAATGATAAGCTCACTCATTTTTGAGCATCTCAACCATTAAGTACATTTAAAATTACGGAACCTTTGATAAAACACTTTGTCCCGGCACCACTGCACTTAATAAAAACATATTTGATGCCTGGATAATAAGAATTTGGTAACTAATATCATATTTAGCTTCTCACGAATCAAAATGTTCCCAACTCTACTCCACATTTAAACTCTAATGATCAAAATATGAAGCAGAGCCGAGAAAAGAATTCCTCAGGACAAAGGTTTTACACATTTACATAGGAATAGCTATGACCCACAGATGCAATAAACATAACATGGTATTAATTATTCAATTAAACAGAGAATGCTTCTATGCATGGCCTGCAATTGTAAATTTGTAAAACATAAAGTAACAAAATAGAGAACTAAATTTTTGAAAACAGGAGTATAGAAATTTAATCTTTTTCATTATTAATATATTACAAAAATTCATGCTATATTCGGCAATTATTACAAAATAAACACAACGATGACATATAAATTGAAGTTAAATATAATATCTACAGTATAAGCATCTAATGTTGAATAACTTCAGTTCACATATCTTTAAAGAAAACAAGAAAAAAATACTTTTCGTTTTAAATTATTTGGTACATGTTTGTGAGGTACGTATTTAATGAATATCGGTACATTAGAACAGATTTTCAAAAGAATAAATGACACCCTAGATTAAATTAAATACAGTGCAAGTGGATCCTATAACAAACCAGCTCACGCACCCAAACAAAATTCCTTCCTGAGGACCGTGTGATGAGGCACTCCATCAACCTGTCGTCAATGAAGGAACCACAGCACCCGGAATCCAGTCTACATTAATAATATGCCACTTTAGGCAAGCCCCTGGCCCCGGCCCCTGGCGAGCCCACAGGTCGCCAGGGAAACCTTTGTTTAAAGGAAGCATGAAAGGAACTCTGACCGGGAGCGCAAAGCAGTCCATGGATAGTTAAAGAAGAAAAACAGATATAAGAGTACACACACACCAACTTGACACACACACACAATTCTCTGAAGAAATAAATGCTTGAACCGATCCTTTTCAAAGACACAAAAGTACACACACATAAAAAAACGAGTGCCGGTATCGATCCATGCAAAATATTCAAATAGATTAAGAGTCATTTCGAATATTCTTCTATTACGTTTTACAGATATGGATTTCTTTAAGATAATTTGTTTAAATATAAGAATAATACAAATAACAGATAAACCAACGTTTTATATTCAATGCAATTGACATTATCGAATTTATGGTCATTTCTTTAGAAGGGTTAGATTTCTTCTCTGAATAAGAGAAGACAAAAATAACGATGAATTTATAAAATCTGACCAATTCATAGTAAATATTCAATAAATGAATTTGCATATAAACAATGCAACACTGTTGTTGAAAATTTGACAGAAATAGACACGAGACCTTCCAAACTAGGTTGACATTACATAATCGATATTCTTTCCTGTGGCAAATGTTACCCGTTATATAAAAAAAAATTGAAGTAAGCAACACAACCTTCCTGTATTAAGTCCGATCAATTTTACATAATTGTCCATGCAAATTATTCAAACAGATTTATATCTATTTCTAATCAAATATTCTTTTCGACATTACATAATCCTGTATAATTCTTTCCTGTAGCAAATGTCAACAATTTTAGTAATTATACACAAATTGGAGAAGTCAACGACACAGCCGATCTCATATTTGGACGGATCAATATTAAATAAATGTTGTTTTGAAGAAGAAGAAAAAAATGTTTATCATCAAGTGGAAATTTTTCTCCAACGATTAAATTGTGCAACATGACAAACTAAACCTTTTCCTAAATTACATAACAAAATTGCAAAGTGGAAACGATACAAGGAAAAGGTTTCCAATGTAAGTTTAAAGCTATGCTAAGCACATTATTATTAATTTTGCATGGTTCTGTTTCGAGATCAGTGGTAATACAACTTTGTATTAAGATCTGTATCGATTTCGTTTTGCAACTTTTTTTTCCATTTGTGGTAACTTCTCCTTCTTGAGTAGCATTCTGGCGGAGTTATTTTCAGCTACCGCCTCTAAATCTGACATTTATTTCTTCATTGTAGATATATCAGCGTGAATGGTATCAAGTTTGGAACATGCCCGATTTGAGAACTCGTTGAAAGATTTTTGGAGGTCAGCAATCGAAGACTCCATAGCTGGCGTGTTATCGGACTGCGTACATGGCGTTTGAGTGTGTAATGGGTCTACCGTTGATGGGCGTTGGCTCGACGCACTGGTACTGGTAGTCCGTTGCTTACGGCCTTTACTTCTCAATTCGTAAGCTTTCTTCATGAGGCCGTAAAACATATATCAGAGGCGTCAGAGGATGCACAAATCGTTGAATTAGTATTAGGATCAGTCCATTACCTTAAATAATGGTTCCAGACGTGAAAAGTAGCATTTTTACAGATGTAATGGTGAGAGCTCAAAAATAACACCTTCGTAATAAAGGGTGGACACTTTCAAACTGCAGGCGGAAATCCATCAAATTTCAGGCACATGAACATGAACATCTCCTGAACATCTCTTCAATATCTTGCCGAATCTTGAGCCCAGGAGCGGCAGAATCACGGCGACACCAGCAGCAAGTGCTAAACCGCCCATAATACTGAACGCAACGTTGTAAGACTGTGTTCTGTCATAGATCTTTCCTGCAAATCATAGAAGACAAAAATAGATATTTAAATAAATAATATTACAAAATGTCGATATTTAGTATCTGGACGGCCTGCCATAGTTAAGTCCAACTTAAAGTCGATCTTAGTCTTTGTGAAACACCTCCGGGTATGTTAAGCATTGTGTCCTCTCATTTTTCATCTATTGAAAATGATGTTTGTTTGTTTTAATACGTGTCTCCATAATAGCTCGTTCTTCGGAAAGCATTCTTTTTAACGCTTCGATCAAAAATGATTAACCGACTTACCTGCAACAAAACCAGCGAGTGGAAATGCAATCCCATAACAAAGAAGCACCAAGGCTAAACCAGTTTTGTATCGCTCCTTCCCAGCCGTATTTTTCATCAGAACGAACATAGTCGGGATGTTAAAACCCATCATAAAACCAAACACAACTGCGAGAATCGTCAGAAACCAAAATTGTTCGGCGAAGAAGTTCACGAAGAACGCCGCTGCTGTGACGATGTTCGCAAGCAAGTACCATACTTCGACTGGAAGAATATTTTTAGAGAAGACGAATCCACTTGCGAAGCGGCCCAAGAAGTTGGCAAATCCAGCAGCGAGTGAGATCTGGGCGGATCTGAGGTCTGTGAGGCCTTTGGCTTGGGCATTGGGGATGTTAAATAGAAGCCAAGTAGCGTACGGTATAGAGAAGAGGAGTATCTGGAAGCAGACAACGATCATTAGGGGACGTTCTCCAAAGATGCGAAGGCCCAAAATGTTGATGATTTTCCTGAGCCACTTCCAAAGACAGCCCGCATTCCTTGTTTCCACTTCATCATCTGGCTCTTTGGAGATTACAGTTGCAACGTCGAGGGTGGCAGCAGCATCATTTTCAGCAGCAGGGGAACGACGTTGAACAGCGCCCTCATCCTTTCGACAAACCATCTCAAGCTCTTGACCACTCTGAATCGTCGTGTTTATACTTTCCTTGACGTCATCTGAATAAGGCTTGAAACTGATGTTATCATGTGCCTCAAAATCAACGTTCTTTGGGGTTGTAGACCCATTTGAGTTTTTCTTGGTGCTAAGTGGTTTGGTACGAACTGGCTCTAACATCGCTCCGATAACGAGGTAATGGGCATTGACTCCTCCCAGTAATAAGATAGCACCTCGCCAGCCATACATGTCAAGAAGGATTTCAAAGATCCACGGCATGATCATAACTCCAGTGCTTCCACCTGATGTCATGATACCAGTAGCTATTTCGAACCGATCGGAGAAGTAGCTGTTGAGACAGGTGTATGTTGGTAGAGTGATGAAGATGTAACCAGCACCTATATGAAGAAGATAAACAGAAAATAAAATCATTAAGCTTTTCAGTAAATTACTTTGGTACGATTTTTCTAGCACCTATACATAGACCGTAATAATAACGTAAAAACACAATGGAATTTTCTAAACACGTGTTCGGAAAACAGTAGTCAACACTTACCGAAGGCTATGAGAGCGGCAGTAACTTGAGGAACCGTTTGGGTAAAGGAAGCACATGCGAGCCCTGCTGCTGATATAGCTCCACCGAACATCGTTAGCTGACGAACAGAGAACCATCGGAGCAGGTATGTGTTCAGAAAAGCTGTGACGATGAAATAAGTAAATATAATGCGTCATTAATGTATGACTTTGGAATAAAACTTAAAAGTCTCTTAAACTGTGCAACCTTTTCAGAGAAGATTGAAAAGGTTTTGTAGGGCTACTTTAATTTTCTGCCACTTAAAGTAGAGATATCGCTCTTAAATCTGAGTTAGCAGACCGCCATATTCCTGCATGGCGAGGGAGGTCCTACTTTGGTGGTGGGAAATTAAGATGCGCATTTGACCCACATAAAATCCTGCGATATAGGTATAATGGAGAGGCGAAACGTCTTACCAAGAAAACATTCGAAGCTGCTTGAAAATGCAGGCATATTTTGAATAAGATTCGTGAATGCTTTCAATGTTACTTTTTTTAATTTCATTTATATAATCATGAATGAAATATGAGGTTAATAGCACAAAGATTCATTTCGAAGGGAACTATAATGGCGTTTTTAATTTGAAATGATTCATTTTATACATAATATACAGTGCGTCTTTGGAAAAACGAAACCGAGAATTATCGATGTTTTATCATATTTTTTTTTTTTAATCACAATTATAATTGATAAATGACACATATTTGGAAAGCTTAGATCCTCCTCTTTCATTTGATGTAACTCATATAACGCATCTTTTACGCATGAGACAGTGATTAAAATGAATTTGAAGAGAGGAAACAAAAAACTCATTTGGCAGACGGTATCTGAATCTCAAAGAGAAATCACATTTCTAGAAAGTTGAGTTTCTGCCCTTTCATATGACACCTCAATCACGAAAAATGAGCTAGGAATAACAAAGTTCTGATTGTTTGAAGTAGTGCTTGCATTTCCATAATTTTATCAAACGAATTCGTTTTCACTGGCTGCTTGCCTTAGCAACAAACGGAATTAACAAAAGACTTAACTCCATTTCGTTGACAATCGGCCGTAGACGTAAGACTTCATGCATGGCTGATTTTCAACGAAACGGAGTTAAGTCTGTTGTCAATTCTGCTTGTTGCTACAGCAGGCAGCCAGTGAAAACGAATCCGTTTGATACAATTATGGAAATGTAAGCACTACTTTAAACAAACAGAACTTTGTCATTCCCAGAGGAGGATCTAAGCTTTCCAAATATGTGTCATTTATTAATTATAAATGTGTCTAAGTTATGATAAAACATCAATAATTCTCGGTTTCTGTATATACATACATTTCAATAAAGTAATTATAATGTATATCCTTTTCTCCACCTTACCTAGGATAGTATATATACCAGACACGACGCCGTATATACCAGATATATATGATGTGCTGACACCAAACTGACGAGTGAGGTCATCCAGGATGAGTGACAATGTTCTTATTGATCCAACCTCGATGAAAGGAACAAAGAAGAGACAGACTAAGATACCCCATCGCTTGAATCCTTTCTTCCCTCTTTTTTCTCCACCCTTTGCGTCATCGGAGGTTACATCAGCATCTGAAGGAATACAAAAGAATGAAATGAAGGTAATACCGTGGATCTACAATTTTCCAATCAAACTTTTCATGTAGGGCGCCGACCACGTTAGCGGAAATATAATGTTGATGCCCTGTAGTTCGATTGCGAAAGTGCGTTCTCACTATGTCAACTCACTGTGGAGTGTACACACTGTGGTTTCCTGTGACCACAGTGTATGTACAAGAAGTGTTCACCGTTTGTAGTAACGCTGTGTTCAAATATGGTGTCCACATTGCGTTACTACACTGTCGCTCATATATTTGGAATATTTTTTTTTACCCCAATTTATGGAATTATTTTGACATTTTGATTTATTCCTAATAGTTCTAGATGGTGATGATGATTATGATGATGCACATCATTTGTATGGCGCCATTTATCTGTTTAAAAAAAACCTTTCAAAGGCGCGAGCTCCTCCAATAAATTTAGCATTTTTGAATGTCTGAAGGAAGATGTTAGTTTTGAGTGAAGCTTTGAAGTGGTCAAGGTTGTCAATTCGCGAATAGATTTTATTGAATAATAATTTGCCAGTGTTTGTTTTGCGTGACTGCTAAAGCATGTGTATGATACTATGCTTATCAACTAGGGAACCTACGCCCTTAATTCATAAATGACAATAATAAGGATTAATGCCCCACGAAAGGGCACTTAATATGTGGCACATCGACACGGTTTAGATCATGGGGCCTCACAGTTACGAGGCCATTGCTTTGCCACTGAACCATGACTGTACGCAGCGGGAACAAGGGCAGGTGGCAGTTTCCATCAAAAATAAAAAATAAAAAATAAAATGCGATCAATTATCAATAATTCATTGAATCCCCCCCCCCCGGTCCCCAACATAAAAGAAATCATCTGTACGGTCATGCATTATGGCTCCAGGCATAGGCAAGCAGAGCACTCCATGGTACACGGGTGGAAGTGTTCTTTGAAAAGGGGAAACAAAGGCTAAGTATGTAGCATCTCCATCGCTGTAGGAGTGATTATTTCAAAATGTACAAAGTGGGACCTCTTCATGTTTTGAAGATCTGTGGATATTTGGGGTCATTGCAGCCATGAGCTAACCGTGAACTGGTCTATTATAAGCGTTGACATTATGGGACAGAGAGCCACTTTATATTTTGATGGCAGTATTTTAACCCTCTAGGCAGAACAACATTTATTTTAACCCATTACCTACTGGAACCAGGGGCCCATGTATTAAGCCTATGGCAATGAATGAATTCAGTAGTCAACATGTTAAGGGTTAAATTGATCACATATTTCCTCAAATTGGCAACATCAATATTTTTCTTTTATTGCTGCATTCTTAAAATTAAATGTAATGCATTTGAAGGAAATATACATGGGCAAGAATGTTGTCATCAAAATTGCAAAATAGCAAATTTTGATGGGAAAACAATGATTTGGAATATCTCAAAGTGTTGCCAATTTAAAGACTTTGAAGCTTATTCAACCTGTTTAGATTCCTGGCAGCAAACAAAATGGCCCGAATTCACAAAGGAGGTTTGTTGACAATCCTTGGTTTTCGTGCGTCATATGACGCGTTTCGACGCGTTTTTACAAACCAGGTTTGTAAAAACGCGAAGATACGCGTCATATGACGTACATAAACCTCGGTTTGTCGACAAACCTCCTTTGTGAATTCGGGCCAATATAGTCATGAAGCGGAAATGGATGCACATGTGTGCAGAAATGTTTGCCCTTTCTTCTTATACATCTGGAATAATTTGTAGGACTCTGAACCAAAAGTTATCGAGCTACACCACACATGTGGAACGATTGCCCTGAATGGGCATTGTAATCAAACAGGTCACCCGTTTCACAAAGCCTTTTGTCAATGACAAATGACAAAGATCAGTGACAAAACTGCTGATAACCAATCAGAAGCAAGGATTTCAGTAGCTTATAACAAACATTGTTATTTGTCACTGGTGACAAGTTCTGTGAAACTCCCCCCAGGTTTATGATTTGCCTTCAAATAAGGTAACCCTATCTGCCACCCTGTACATTCATAGGCAGCCTAAGTAAAAAATAAAACAAATAAACAAATTATATTTAATTACATGATCACAAATTGTTGAAAAGCTGTGACAATATAAGAATATCATTATTATCACTGTCATTTTCGTCACATTTAACAATGTCATCATATTCAACAATGTTATCATCACTTTGACAATTGTCTTATATTATTTTTTTCTCTTTCTTTCTTTAATTTATTTATCATCATCATCATCACCATCATTATTATCACAATCGTCATCATCATCATCGTATTTAACCTTTGTCCGCTTCAGTTGACTTTATTCTAAACTTCGTCAGTTTATCTTCAAGAATATCCAATGTCTCCAGACCATCTTTTCCTTCGGAATGTTGCTCCATCCACGTCCGGATAAATGTTTCAACAGTGATGCTGGAGGAACCCGGTATCCCTTGGAGATTGCGAATCGTCTCCTCATCAAGACCCATCTCCTCAACAAGAGACCAAACGTCATCTCGATCGAACTCGGCGGCCAAACGTTTGAGCTCTACGTCATGATACATCCTTAAACGTGATGGTTTCTGATAAGAATTAAACAAATGGTTATGTTTCAATTTAAAAATGAATATGTATTCACAAGAAGAGTTCAAATCGAATATGTATTAAAAGTAATTGAAATTTATATTATTTGCAGGAGGATTTCAAATTGCTTTCGCGTTTTTATTTATATAATTTCGTACACGAGTTTAAAATGATTTGAATTCACGTTTCCCCCAGATGTGCTATAATGATTATTTTCATATTATATGCAAGACGAGTATAAAATGCTTGTGTTTACGTGGCTTGCAAGAAAAGTTGAAAAAGATTGCTTTTAAATTGATTTGCAAGACGATATTTATGTCTCATTGTAAGCTCAATGGCTTTAACTGTGATTTGTAACCTGTCATACAATTATAGCATGCATCAAATATGAATGCGTATGTGTAAAGTGATCTATTTACCCAACCTTGATGAAATCCATTTTTTCCATAATAATTAAACAGGCCAGTTGAAAATGTGTTTCAAATTCACTGATGACTTTTCTATCGATGAGTTACTGACAGCGAGATACGATTTCGTTGGTTTTGTTCAGTGCATGAAAGCATGTTGTATATTGGTGATGCAAATCTACTCACAGGTAAAGCTAAGATTGTCAAGAGAAATTATATGTGGGCATATATTTCCATAATGTGAACTACCATTCTTTCGATGTAATAAAAAGCACAGAATTAACACGAGGACGTTAATTTTAGTCCTAGGATTGACTAAAGAGTGGACTTGACCCAAATAGAATAGAATAGAATAGAATAGAATAGAATAGAATAGAATAGAATTTATTGACTCATTCGACCCCCTTCTGGGGTATGAGAGTACAACACATGTACATGTCATGATAATGATACATAATAAAGAATACAAACATAGCTTAATAATACAAAGAATACAGAATACAACAAAACAACAATATAAAAGTATAACGATAAATAGGAATAATCTAAACCTAGCCTATGCTAAACATAAAAACAATATTATACAATATGGCAAGCATACATAAAAAGTGGAGAATACCACATGAACAATCTAAATACAAACATGAAGAAAAAGAAAGATAAAAACAAAAAATTATTTAAAAAAAATACATTATTGTCTTAACTATATAAGAAATTATAAGTTTCATTTTTGTACATGTAAGTGAGATGTGATTGGATTGTTAAGACTTATGCAGACTAACAAAATACGGCATAATCGTCCATTGGACAAACAAAAACAAAAAGTATACTAACAAAAAAAAGAACAAAAGAACAAACAAACCATCAAAACTATACTTGACCTAAAGAAATACTGTACTACAGATCAAGAATTGTTGGTTGCTTAATTAACCTACCACTTCGGGTTGTAACATTCCTTTTTATGGGTGACATATGATTGGATTGTTCAGATTTACATGTATATAGACCAGCAAAATATGACATTATTACCCTTAAGAAAAGTACTAATTTCTTCAGCTGTCCTATACCGGAATATAGAAATAAATTCAACATGTGTAATGTGCAAGGGCGTTTAAGTATTACTTTGCGACCTAAATATAACTCTCTTTCCTTTCTGAAAAAAGGGCATACAAAAACATAATGGAATTCATCACCAGACTCATGCATATCACAACATGGGCATTCAATACTAATTTCATTGAATCTGTTATTATTAATTGGTAAACGGTGTGACCTACATCTAAAACGGCTCAGTGTTATTCTATCTCTTTTACTCCGGAAAAAAAGAGACAATCCTTTTTAAAGATCCTATAATTCAGGCACACACTGTTTGTCCAAATTGTTGCCATCACATTTTGTTTTGAAATATCGTTTAATCTCAACTTCAGAGTGCTCAGTATCCAACTATTGCTAAATCCTTCCCCTTGCTTTAGCCAAACAATACCAAGACCAGCATAGTTCAATATTTTTTGCAATACAAGATAACCACTTGAAAGAAGTAGACATATCTACATTCTGACTAATTAACCTTTGCAAAAAATAAAAATTGACTGAATATTTAGAGGGAGAACCTTTTACTATTCTTAACCAGAAACTAACCATTCGATGTTTGATACTGTTAGCTAGCCATGCCCTCCCAGTTTCTCCATATCATACAATCTGGTGTAAATTTATTTACACATAACGCTGACCTGAGAAATTTTCTATGGAATAAAAGTACGTTGTCGTTTTGCAACCCTGGGGGTATGAAACACCCCCAGGCTTGAGGCGTTCCACCCAGATGATTACAATAGGGACTTTTAGATGTGCATGTCAACAGCTTTGACTGCAACGTGTGACGTCATTTTAAAGGTAAAGACCAGTTATGGTCATGCGATTGCATTGTGAAAGAAACGTTGTGGAATCTGCAAGGTTCTGGAATCGTCAAAATGATAAGAAATTTGGCCCATTTTTCGTAAAGTTACAAGCACTATACACAGAAAGATGTATATGGGACTACCCTATATCTCTCACAGACCATGAGAGAAACAATTTACCAAATATATGAATTAGTAGGCGGTTTCCCGGCAAATTTGTTATCATCATGTATTAGTCAAAACATATTCTTTCACATGATTGGTAATGAGAGCTTCCATTTCATTGTTTGAAATTGGGGCGTTTCCAATACTGGTCTTTACCTTTAAGATACGGCGCATGCGTTACATCGTCTCAGTCGGCGATTGAGAATGCGTCAACCTTGATTTTCCTAAATCTAGTACATACATACATACATATTGATATTTATATAGCGCCTTTACATGCTCAGGGTACTAGTATGCCGCGTGCGCATAAAATATACAGTTCCTCAGGTAGACAAAGGAACATCCCTTCTCTGCTATTATGTAAAATGTGTAGAGCAGGGCCCCGTCTTACAAAGAGTTGATATCAATCGTAACTTATTTGTGATTGATATCAATCGTAACTATGTACATAAGAGATAGGAGACTGCAAACTTGCGATTGATTGGAGGACTTACGATTGATTTGGATCGATCGTAACTCTTTGTAAGACGGGGCCCAGGTGTCTCATGCATATTCACCTGTTCTACACATTTTTACATAATAGCATTGAAGGGATGTTGTTTTGTTGAGGGTAGAATGAGGAACTGTATATTTTGTCCTCTTTTTTTGTCCGTGATGTTTATAGTGTTACTTCCTGTATGCATGTACAGAGTGAGTCCAAAAAAAAATACACCTAGACAATTGCTAATTATTTTAAAAGTCATCTATGAACAATAAATTATTAAACATCTAATGAGAGAGTGTTTTATCCCAAATCATTTGGTACCATTTTTGTGTGGTATGTGTTCACGCTTGGATGAACACGAGGCATTGTTTGCGAGAGTGCGAAAATCGACTTGCGCCAAAGTTGCTTAATAGATGTTTGAATAAAACAATTTGAATTTGGGTATTAATTCGGTCTTTGCAGATCCAAATAACATCCCTAACAAAATTAATCATGCCACACATATCAAATATCGAATATCAAATATCAACGAACATTTGTGCGCGTGTGTGTGGGTGGTGTGACTTTGCCCATTGCAAAAAGCATATGCAATGCATTTCATTTGATACATTTAATTCATTCTCTCACTCCACTGATCCCAACATAATACATACTGTACGCATCACTTTGGCGCAAGTCGATTTTTGCACTCTCGCAAACTATGCCTCGTGTTCATCTAAACCTGAACACATACAACACAAAAATTATATCACATGATTTGGAATAAAACACTTTTTCATAAGATGTATAATAATTTTCTGTTCATAGATGAATTTTAAAATAATTAGCAATTTTCTAGGTGTAAACTTTTTTTTGACTCACACGGTATATCGTCGAGTGCAATCTAAAATAGGGACTTTTAGATTCACACGGAGACAATAGGTCTATGCTACGAATGACGTCCTTTTAAAGCACTGCCGTGAATGGAAGTACCACGTATCAGTCCACGCAAATCTAAAAGTCCCTAGTATTTCTAATTGTAGACAACACGGGCAGTTAAGTACGTTGACACGCAGGGTCAGTCGGCGTTCGTCGTGTTCTCGTCCACTCAATCTAAAAGTCCCTAATGTGTTTTCTGTAGGCCTATTTTGTCAAGACTAGTCTCCCTTTTCATTTAAAATGAGATCGAGATCGAATGAAAGTCGATATACCTAAAGATGCGCCATGTACGATTATTTATTTCTCCATTGCGAGAGGGAGGAAGGGAAAGAGAGAATGAAGTGGAATTAGAATGAATACATTTAAATGTGAAAGGTAATTAAGATCTATGTAGTCGATTTAATACAGTTTAATTTGTGTTCAGCATTTACTTAACCCCCCCCCCCCCCCCCGTGTAAACAGCGAGCCTCTTGACTGTCTTGTATCACTCGAGACATATAATCAAAATAATTTATATACATTTGATTTGATTTATTCGTCCACAATGTGGAAATATGCTTCCCACCAGCATTACAATAATACGAGAAACAGAGTACAATAATATGAAACATGCAAAACAATTAAGCAAACAATTTAAAAACAGAAAAGATCTCGTCATTTCACAAAAATAATACAGAATTGTTTACTCCATCCAAAATTGTGAAACTTGATTAGATAATTATATCTTAGGAATAGCTTTATGAGAACAGTTTATAAATTCAAATAATTATGATCATTTTTGCTATTGTCATTATTAATATTATTATTATTATGATTATTATTATTATTAATATTATTATTATTATTATTATTATTATTATCTCTTAACGAATTAGTTGAACATGTGGATAGAGTTTGGTACAAAGGATTGGCGGAAGCGTGGGACGTTTAGTCGAATTCCAGAACGGTTGAAATAATACTGGGTGTTGAGAGGGTGACTTTGAGCTTTCATGATTTTGTTTGTTTTGGACATGAGTCTCTGTTCGAACAAAGAGTTTATATCAGTCAAACAATGCCCTATCACTCTCTGTGCCGCTCGCCACACCCCAAGCGAGTCCGGTTTGTCTGGGCCCCATTTCCGTAAAAACAACGACCGATAGAACAAAACCAGAATTGTTCTGTCAACCAGTGGCGGATCCAGCCGGCGGGAAGAGGGGGAGGGGGGGGGGGGGGCAATCCGTGAGAAAATATTAGTTGCGACTCAACCACCAGTGAATGAGCGGGGGGGGGGGGGTAGGAGGCACTTTTTTGTCCAATTTTTCAGGAAATATTTTACCCCGACTCAGCCAGCCGGTAAATTGAACCAAGAATAGCGCAATCAGTCAGTATTTATGTATTTAAGCGCAAACTGAAGTTACTATATTTGAGTCGATATCGTCTAGATTTATAGTTGTGATCAATATTTAAGAAAATTAATTACTATATAGGTCAGCAGAATTCTACTCCCATCTCTCACATCTATTCATGATCATCTGTCTGTCTTTTTTTGTTTTTGTCTGTGTTTCGGTCCTGTTGCTCGTTGTATTTTCCTGTAGATTTTATTATACTTATTTATGTTTATATGTTTTCAGTTGTTTAGTTAGTTTAGTTAGTCAGCACTTAAATGTATGCATTATTCTTATCTGACAAGTTTTGTTCTTTTTGGACATATTCATAAGCTACTCATGAGGGACCTTAAATCCACAAGCCTTGCTTTCAACCAAGGTCACCTCATCTTTCTTTTGTAACGCCATATTATGTTAAACTTGTTATATTCATGTCATATTTGTAAAGTGTGTTATGAAAGAAAGATAAATAAACTTGAAACTTGAAACTTGTAAATAAGCGGGGGGAGGGGGTTGGGTAAGACCACTTTTTTTGGTTTTTTGGCATTCTTCGTGAGAATTTTTTTTTTTTTTTTAATTTTTGCTGTTGTTGACCCGTCTGCAGACGCCTGCAGAGGATCCAGCCGGCGACAAGGGGGAGGGGGGGGGGGGGTGGGAGCCAAATTGTAATACAAAATTTAGCGTCGACTCAGCCGGCCGGCGAATAAGTCGGGGGGGGGGAGAGCACCTTTCTTCTTTCCCTTTTTTGATCTAGTTTTGGAGGAAAAATTTAGCGCCGACTCAGCCAGTCGTTGAATCGATTTTTTTTTTTTTTTTTTTTTTTGGGGGGGGGGGCGCTTTTGTTTTGTGTTTGAAAAAAGGTTAACTTTACGTTATTATCCTATTTTTTTTATCGTTTTGGGGGGCTGGGGGGGGGGGGCGGACAAATCGCTACGTGGATCCGCCCCTGCTGTCAACGTGAATATTTTTCATCAGAAAGTAGAGTCTTTGGTTTCCCTTCTTACACAATGTTTGTGTGTTTTTAGTCCAATCTAAAGTGTTGGTAACTATGCTTCCCAGGTACTTGTGCTCCGTCACCTGTTCAACCTCCTTATTATGAAGAAATAACGGATCGTGTTTATTTGATTTTTTCCGAAAGTCAAACACCATTTCCTTTGTTTTAGATACGTTTAAGTGGAGGTAGTGCGCATCGCACCACTCAATGAAAACCTTCACCGTTGTGACATAGTCATTTACATTCTCATCAGTAAGATGCCCAGTGAGTACCATATCCATCAGCATATTTTATGATATTACAATTTTCATTGTCACTGACAAATTTACTAGTATACTATGAGAATAACATAATAAAATACATATAGTAAGATATATACATCGGTTCCCAAAAAAGGGGGGGGGGACCGAAAAAACGTTTTTGAAGTTTTGACAACTACTTCAAGTGCTAATAACGACAATTTTGCTATGTTTCATGTAGCCAAAACTATTCTTAGAGAAATATATTTACCTGATTTATTATGCTCTCAAATTTTGCTGGAAACAAAAAAAACCGCAAGCGCAATTTAACTTCCCGACAAAGGGAGTGTAGCGCTACGCGACGTTTTGCCGGGCAACCGGCATAATAATATAGTAAAATGTATAGCTTGGGTGATATAAAACATGCATTGCAAATATGAAAAAAACCAAAACAAGCATTACATTTTGCTATTTACAGCCGACCGCGACTCACACAAACACAACACTCTTGCGATTGATGCATTTTACTCACCGTCTCCTTAGCCAAGTTCAGGCTCAGTCTTTCGCGGTGCTCTCGCTTCGGGGAAACAATCGAAAACATAACTTCGCTTGGCTAGCTCAAATGCGTGCACTGGCTAGGTTGGGGTAATATTTTAGACCAGGCGCGGATCCAGGTTTTTTTAGGGGGGGGGGGGGGCAAATTTGAAATTATGCGAGCCTAATATTGGTACGTAATGGTGACACCGGCAGTGGCAAAAACGTTTGGGGGTAGAGGGAAGGGGGGGGGGAGACAAAAAAAAAATCCCCCGTCACCCTACTCTTACATGTAGGCCCCGCTGAACGTTTCTCGGCGGGAGGTCATGGGGTGGAGCCGCCAGAAGCTCAGTGGGTATAGGCATTTAATTACTGTCAGATGAGCATATTTTGATACCATATTTATGACCCTGGCAGGACGCAAATCGGTGTTGGGTCCAGAAGGCGGAGCACCTAGAAGCTCAGGGGTAAATTATCGTCAGATGAGCATAATTTTATACCTTATTTGTGACACTGGCAGGTCTCGAATTGGCGTGGGGTCCAAGGGGCGGAGCCCCCGGAAGCTCAGGGGTTTTGGGCAATAAATTACGGTCAGATGAGCATATTTTGTATAACTTATTTGTGACACTGGCATAAAACAAATTGGTGTTGGTTCCAGAAGCTTAGGGTTTTTATACATTAATTTATCGTCAGATAAGCATATTTTATACCTCATTTGTGACACTGGCAGGTCACGAATTGGCGTGGGGTCCAGGGGGCGGAGCCCCCGGAAGCTCAGGTGTTTGGGGCAATAAATTACGATCAGATGAGCATATTTTGATACCTTATTTGTGACACTGGCAGGACACTTTATCGGTGTTCGGTCCAGGGGCGGAGCCCCTAGAAGCTCAAGGGTTTTATACATCAAATTATCGTCAGATGAGCATAATTTTTAACCCTATTTGTGACACTGGCATGTCACGAATTGGCGTGGGGTCCAGGGGGCAGAGCCCCCAGAAGCTCAGCGGTTTGGGGCAATAAATTATGGTCAGATGTGCATATTTTTATACCTTTTTTGTGACACTGGCATGTCACGAATTGGCGTGGGGTCCAGGGGGCTGAGCCCCCAGAAGCTCAGCGGTTTGGGGCAATAAATTATGGTCAGATGTGCATATTTTTATACCTTTTTGTGACACTGGCAGGTCACGAATTGGCGTGGGGTTCAGGAGACGGAGCCCCCGGAGGCTCAGATGTGTTAGGCAATAGATTACGGTCAGATGAGCATCCAGGGGCCAGCCTTAGGGCCATTGGTTGGGTTCGGGGGGGGGGGGGGGCAGAGATCCGGAAGCTCAGGTCTTTAGGCATTTAATTTCGTCAGATGAGCATAATTATACCTTATTTTGTGACACTGGTAGGTCACTAATTGGCATGGGTATAGGAAGGGGACCCCCAGAAGCTTAGTGGTTTTAGGCATATTATAACGGTCAGACAAGCATGCAGGGGCCCGCCTTAGGGCCCCTGGTTGGGTCGAGGGGGTGGAGTCCCGGAAACTTATGGGTTTAGGCATTTTATTACGGTCAGATGAACATATTTTGACACTGGCAGAACACTAATTGGCGTGAGGTCCAAGGGGCCGAGACCCCAGATGCTCAGGGGTTTTAACCATTAAATTACCGTCAGATGAGCATCCACTCGTCCACCTCAGGGCCCTAGGTGGGGTCCAGGGGCAGAGCAACCGGACGTCAAGGGGTTTTAGGCATTTAATAAAGGTCAGATGAGCATATTTGGGTACCTTATTTGTGGCACTGGTAGGTCACTAATTGGTGTAGGGTCCAGGGGCGGAGCCCCCAGGAGTTCAGGCGTTTTAGGCATTAAATTACCGTCAGATGAGCATCCAGGTGCCTGACTTAGGACCCTAGGTGAATTTTTGTTTTGTGTGTGTGCTAAATAAAGCATACACACTAAAACAAAATCTCTTTCTCCGCCTTCTCTCTCTCTCTCTCTGTTCATCTCCCTTTCCACATTTTAGCTTACCTAGTTTACAACGTTTTTGCACTTTTGTCCATAAACTCCAAATCTCTTCCCCTATTAGAATACATCTCGCCATTCCCAGGATATAACATTTATTTGCACTTGATACACGTAAGAGGTTGAGATTATTGTTTGAAAGTTTAAAAGCGATTTATTACAAACTTACTTTCTTTTAATTGCGTGCTCATCCGTCACTTCGTGAAAATAGGGACGATTATGACACAAACAAGTGTGAATGAAAGAGGTTTTTAAAGTCAAATAGACCAAGCGATATTCACCGGCCGGTCTTATTTGTATTAATAACTTAAAAAGCATAGTTAATGAACAAAAAGACAACCTGATAGAGTAGTAGAGTAGAGGAGCATCATAACATCCATATAATTTGTAATGTTTTTTTCTTGAGTTATTTCAACCAATAATCACTACTACGTAAACTTTTTGGGGCGCGATTTTCGAACACATTTGTAATATAAATGTAAGGGGGTGGTAGATTGGGACGGGTAGCCGGAATGAGTGGGGGTAGACCTCGAACAATACAGATGACAATGGCAGCCTGAGGAGTAGAGTTGGTGCTCTTTATTCTGTAAAGGACACACCGCTATAAGCGGGGTGGGAACGGGGTGAAGGTCACGGTTCTAAAGCCCGCCACCAACGACCTCCTTACATCCTTCCCCACTTTAAATAGTCATCGTCCCTTGATGACTCATAATGCAACAAAAACCATTTCTCAACATCAATTACATGTATTATTAACAATATCTATAAAATCAATTAATAGAAACAATCTCCATAGAACATACATTTCTATACTACCTCAAACAATCTGGGAGGTACTTTATAAAATAGATATCGTCCTAATTGGCATGGTTGCTTGTTTCGTTTCATTTCTTTATCACCAACTTTTTTTCTTCTTTTTTTTTTTTTTTGTTTGTTTTTGTTTTTTGTTTTTTTTGTTTTTTGTCATAACAAAATATAGAAATATGAATCGGCTAAGAATGGGAGAGACTCCGTATGATAGTCTTCTAATCAAAGCAAGGAAATGATACATCATAATAGCATTCGACTTATTCTAGGTAACAACAATAACAAAGAAAGACAAGTAATACATACATAAAATATATGCCTCCCTTGTCACAACATTTAACTTGAAATTGTTTAGCAGCTTGCATTAGATGGATATCAAATCTGTATACGACACTTGCATGACACATTACCGGTAGTCGAAAAATAGCTCATACTGTCAAAATCACTACAGTCTGGCAAAGGTATACGATACGTAAATGATACATCAGTCATAGCTCCTACTGTCAAATTCACTAGTCTTGCAAAAGTTACCGGTACTTCTAAAATAATAAAGGATAAATCAGAAATATATTCAGATTAAGCCTACCTCTTCCCGCCCCCACCCCTTTTTTTTTTGGGGGGGGGGGGTCAAATAAAGATGGAAACAACATCTTTATAGTATGTAAAAACAAATTATCACGTTACCTTTCGAAAAATACATGCATGTATAGGTATATTTTTGGTTGTTTATATAGTCACAATTAAAGGTCTTTTCCATACTCAGGACTTTCACTCGTGTCTTAAGTATACAAAATGATTGTGTAGAGGCGAAACCGAACACAAACATAATCACCAAAAATATATTATAATACCATACTACAATACAATATAATATAATACAATATATTATGAGTAATCTAGGCATTAGGTATCTCCTTTTCCTTATTAACTGAAAATAAAAGGTATCATCAAAAACTTGTTCAAAAAGTAAATAAACTTCTCAGTAATATGGGCTTAGCAGTCAAAGCTAAGAAGTGTCGTTCCTTATCAATTTCAGACGGTAAACCAACAGTTATTGATTTTTCCTTAGCTAGGGAACAAATTGCATCTATACAAAATAATCCTATTAAATTTCTAGGATCTCACATTACTTTCAAAATGAAAACTTCAAAAACATATGATTTCATCCGTGATAAGGTTGATAGTTCCCTCACGAATATAGATAGTGTAAACATAAAAAACGAGTATAAGCTAAGAATTCTTAATGATTATGCTCTCTCCTCTATGAGATATATGTTAACTGTACATGACCTTCATGCAACCCACCTTGGACAACTAGATACACTTCTAGACAAATACATTAAAAAGTGGATGGGCATCCCCCGGTGTGGTGCCAATATTGCTGTAGTTCATGCCCCAAGGGGTCTTAATATTCCCACTATCTCTGAACTCTACCAACCATGTCATTGCCTTGCCTACAGTAGATCTAAAGTTAAAGGCGACGAAATGGTAGTTCATGCCCTAGATCAACAGATGGCCAGAGAGTAAAACTGGACCAAAAAGTCATCTACAATCCAGGTTGCACACCAAATTCATTAATGTTAGAAAAAAGGAAATACTAGTATTTGAGTTGACAATTCCATTTGAAACCAACATTCAACAGGCCCACCAAAGAAAGCTTGACAAGTACGCCGGACTAATACATGATATCTCAGAAGCCGGCTGGACTCCCAAATTACTGTGTGTAGAGATAGGTTCCCGAGGTTCGATAACTCCTGACAACAACAAAAAACGATTCCATGACATTTGCTCCGGCGACAATTGCTCCGCTGTAAATTTCATACACTAATCGAATGGCTAACTTCAACACTGGATTCAACACTATACCCTACCCTAAACCTAACCCTAAACATAACATAAAACCCTATTGAAACCCTAACCCTAACCCTACATCTTAGATGAAATAAAGCCCGGAGCAATTGTCGCAGGAGCAAATGTCGTGTCACCCAAAAAACTTATAGATATGTTGAAAACATGTAAATGCAAAGTAAGGTATCCACGACTGAGAAATGAAATCTTGAAAACCGTACTGTTTAAATCGTATGTTATTTTTTTCAGCCGGTCGGAACGCACCTGGCAATCACAACATTACTTGGGAGTGTAAGTGGTTTAACTACCTTGTACGACTTGCAATACCGAGACCTCTTTCTCTCCCTCTCCCTCTTTCTCTCTTCAACCCCCCTCTCTCTCTCTCTATGGAGAT